ATTGTTTAACTGCATTGTCATAATACATCCATTTAATCTACCATCTGGTTGCTTGTGACCTATTTTCATTATTATAGAGTGATAGTATACTGACATTTAAGTTACACAGGTGTGAGCGGCCTTGACCTATAGCCATGTGTGTCAGTGGGGACCAAGCAGCTTAAAGATTCATGGCAGAACAGAGAACCTAACATATCAAACCGCTCATGCGGGGGTAAGTGCTACATCACTTTTGACTTGCCCTTTATTGTCTATAGCAGCCTTTCTCAGCCAGGGTGCCCAGGCACCCTGGGGTGCCTTGAGGTTCCTTAAAGGGTGCCTTGGCAAAATGTGTAAAAATTGCTCAAAACTTAAATACAAGCCAGCAGGCGGAACAAGCCTGCCTTTCAGTTACACAAAGCCACAGGTTTTCATTATGAACCATAATGACCTTTTAGCTGCCGGCGTCCTGACAACCAATGACATCATCAACTGATAAGGAGGATGTCAGCTGCCTGCACAGCATCCTAGTTTACCCTCCCCTGCCCCTCTCCATCAGTGCTGGGGTCACATTAGCTCAGTGATGGAGAAAAACTGAGGGAGAAGAAAAACACTGGAATACTAGTCAGTACCAGTGTGCAAAAGTGTATTTGCTTTGGAAGAATAAATCACCTTCAATATTAGGTGTACTACATATATGGATGCTGCTGCGTTATATAAAAACTATTAGAATAGTTTTTTCACATTTTAGAATGCAGTGCCCTTTTAAAATTATGGACAGTCTTGAGGCACCCCATTTTAGAATGGGGTGCCTCGGGACTGTCCATAATTTTAAGGGGTGCCTTGACTGAAAATAAAGTTGAGAAACATTGGTCTATAGGCATCAAAAACAGTATATATCAGTTTAAGCACTTTTTTCATTGTTAAAAAAAAAAACAACAAAAAAACAAAACAAAAAAGCTTAGTATGAGCTAGAGTTCCCCTTTCATTCTTCCATGAACTCCTATGGTTGGGGATTTAATGACAGCTTGATTATAATCACAGCAAACTGGAAATCTATCGCTGAACTTTATCAACTCTACAGTTCCCTGATAGCTGTAAGCCGATTTCAATAACTGCTCTTATGTCCTCATTCTCTTCCCTTGTGGCCTCTAGATTAAAGACGCCAGGCTGCGATCTGACCTTACGCTTTATCAGGGTCAGGAATCAGGGCCCATATGGGTTGCTGTGGGCTGAGAGCCTGCTCAGGTGAGCTCACCTTCTATAGCATTCTCCAAAGGTAACATTAGTCGCTGCAGAAATAAAGGACTGACACTTGTCTCATGGGAACCAAATACCAAAGCACATCTGTCCCTTAGACTTCGACAGAGCCCTGGTTCCCTGGGGCAAGAATGGATTTATCTAGAAGACCACTTGTTACTGTATAAAAGGGGGTTTTGTAACAGACCAAGAAAAAAACAGATTGGTATAATACAAATCCACTGCGCCCAATCAGATTCAAGCTTTGTTATCCAGTAGAGTTTTTTTGGGATGCTATGCATGGTAGGTTTGTTAACTTGGATTAAAAATTGGGTAAAACTGAACAATTTTTAGAAGTTCCATTCTGTGTAACAGAACATGTACTTAAATGTTAAAACAGTATGAAACTTAAAAACAAAAATGTATTAAATTGCAGCTTATCAATTCTTAGGTGTGATGGCTGCATTAGTTTTCTTTTTTAGGCTTTTTTACCCCCTTTATTTTCACCTGGTGACCCAGCCAATAACACACCTCCTGTCCTAGGGTGTCTCCACTCTGGCTGGAGGAGCAAGAGACACCTTCAGACAGCAGCATTGTCACTGCTGGTGTTCGAATAGCAGATTTATATGGACTTGACTAACACATTAAAAACGAACTCCAGCTAACCCTTTAAGTTACAGCGACAGGTTTTTTTCCTTTTTGGGATAAAGGTTTTACATAAATGAATAAAAGCTGATCATTGTAAGCACCCCTCTCAGTGGTAAATGGTTTGTCTCAGCCTTCTAACTGCTACTTTTCCTTTACAGTTTGGTCTGTTCATGGAAGTTAAAAAATGACAGACTTATTGGTAGGGGCACCAGGTGAAAATAAGGAAATAACTGTTGTATTATAAAAACAAAAACTTCTTTAATAAAAATATTGAAAAAGAAAATAAATAACGAAAACGAATGCAGCCATCACATTGAAGGACTGGTAAGCTGCAATTTTAGTTTTTCGGGTTTAATGCCGCTTTAAAGTTAGCGTCTCCAACCCACATTTTTCTTTTTAGTTTAAGACAGAGTGCGAGAAGCAGAAAAACTCAAGCCTGGTTTTCAAAGATATTTTTTACATTTAGGCCCATTTCACATAGGCGGTACCCATTCCAATCAGTAGGAGATCCATGAATCCCCTGCTAAATAGGAGCAGAGTGGAACAAATGTCACTTCTATGCTATCCATGTCCATTCAGTTTTTCCTCCTTCTTGAACTCAAAGTAGACCTTCATCCTTCCAGTGAACTCTCCTCCTCTCCATCCTGCTCCCCTCGGCAGCGCCAATATCGTCTTTTTTTTTTATTATTTACTTTTTTGGGATTAAAAGGCTCAGCCTTCTCCCCATCCTTTGGAATTCATTCAGGTAAATGACATGGTGCCCCCGATGTCTCCTGGGATGCATGATGTGCAGTCCCAGTAAGAAGGTGCCTGCACCCAGAACAGCCGGCAGCTGTCAGGAGACAATATGTCAGCTCAGGACCTGTGAAGCGGATCCCATCAGGTCAACGCTGAATCCGCTGGCTAGGCGAGTGGCCTTATTGTGCAGAACACAATATCAGGTAAGCAAGGGAAAAAAAATATTAGGGGGGAGTGGAAAGGCTGCATTTTCTCTTTAACGGATTCATATTAAGTCTACGGGCAGGTGGATGTATATGGATGTGAGTCTGTGTATATCCTTTTACCTCTGAGCTGTCAGATTTATGCCTAGAAAATCAGAATAAGGATGCAAACTCTTAGATTGTAAGCTCCAAGGAACAGGGCCCTCCTAACCCTCTTGTATTGAACTGTATTGTCTCCCTTTATATTGTAAAGCGCTGAGCAAACTGTTGGTACGATATAAATCCTGTATAATAACTTCAACATAGAGGTAATCAGTTGTAAACGAACATATGTCCGTTTACATCCACTTGCCTATAGACTAACAATGATCTTCCGTTTAGGTCCTTCTGAACAACTGACAGGTGGATCTGATGAAGACACCCATATGAAAAGGGCCCTGGGGTCCTTACTGTCCCAGAGTAGGAAAAGGCTAGAACCCGTCAGTTTTTAAAACATTTTTGTGGAATGTGGAGGGGCTAAAACCCATGCCAGGTTTTTATTGCTACCATGGGACAGAAGATGAAGAAAAAATCACTGAATGCGGAATGAAGATAGACTGATGGTTACTGACTTAATAAACCACGGGAGAGGTACTGTGCAGTAAAATGGACTTAAAGAAAAATTTTTTTTTTTTTTTTAAATATGGAACGCTTCACGAATTTGTGTGTCATCCTTGTGCAGGGCCCATGCTAATCTGTATCGTTCAAATTTTAGTATATGTGCTGCCGAAGCTAGAACAGAAAACTATTCTTAAAAACAATCCCTCCTCCTACCAGGGGCGGACTGACAACTCATGGGGCCCCCGGGCAATAGGGGATCATGGGGCCCCTGTGTCCTTGCCCAAACTCAAAAAAGCCTATGAAAACAGTACCAAAGGGCATCTCATAGGGCCCCTTACTGACCCCGGGCCCTCGGGCAGTGACGTGTTTCCAAATGGTCAGTCTGCCCCTGCCTCCTACCTATCCTGCATACCCTGTATGAAAGATCTGTGTACTTACCGATTTTTAATCTGGTCCGGTCACGTGATCTCACCTGTGTCAAAAAGCAGTTGCTGCAGGGGAGAAGAGGGAGTATCCCCAATGGCTAGATCACAAAAGCCTATGGGTGACGTCACAGCTTTATGAATTTACAGTTGTTGTCGAGTGCTTTCTTAGACAGCTTTCTTAGACGGGGAGCCGGAGTTGCTGCGTCACCGGACCGGATTAAAAAAAAAAAAAGGTAAATGCACACCTTTTTTTTAATGCAGGTTACGCAGGAGGAGGGAGGGAGTTTAAGAACATTTAGCATTTACTACTCCAGCATGGTGGACACTGCTCAGCTATGACTGGGGCCAAGAGGAAAGAATGCTATAATGCTGAGAGTGGACATTTTTAAATGTACATGTAAAGAAGGGTTTGACAATTTGTCCAGTTTCTGAAAGATAGATCGATGTTGCCTTATCTGACCTCCTTCTGAAAATGCTAACATCCTGGCTGCCATGATTACAGCAACTGATGAGCTCAAGGTGGGTGTCGCCATTGGGATGATATTGACTACTAGTCCAAGGATCAGGAGTTGGGGTGACAGCAAGAGTGTGCAATACTGAAGGCTTTAATAAATGTTACCAATCCAATACAGTACATCCATATAAAACTGTAGGGCTGGGTGTGTCACAAGTGTACATGCATTAGTTTACTCTCAACAGGAGAAAAACAGTGTCTTATTTTATATTTTTAGTACGTTTGGCATCATGCCTCACTGTATACAGTTCATTTGGGATGCCTATCAGACCTTGGAGGAGGTATGTGCACACCTGATAGGCAGCCAAATGGCCAACTGAAGGAGCATGCAGAAGACTGACAACATTACTGACAATTGTGAGACAGCAGCTTAACGTTGTCAACCTTCAATGGGAAGTGCTGTTACTGGCAGAATCACCAGACAAGAAACTTTGCAACAGCTTAAATTATTTGTTTAGGAAAACTGTATACAGCGAGGTGTGATACAGAAAAGTAGATCTGGGAATTTTACACACACTTGTTTAGCTAGGATTAACCTTTAGATGATTATGCGTTGCTTCTTGCCTTCAGGTTGGAGTTCTCCTTTAACACACATTATCATTGTTATAACTTCAAAAGTCCAGCCACATTTCAGAAGTTGGAGTTGTCACGTACCATTGTAGACTTGCTCGGAAAACCTCAGCGACAGCTGCTGCTTTATTTTGCGCACCTCTCGGTCCATGGTAAACGTCTCAATGTCTAAGTGAGCCTGATACAGTATGGTTCCAGCCGGCGTCTCGTAGATACCTAGACATTTTTTTTTCAGGAATGGGGAGGGGGAGGAGAGAAAAAAAAAAAAAAGAGAAAGAATAAGAGAGGGATACATGAAGCCGAAATTGCTGTCAAATGACACTATTAATGAGCCCTGTGACAGCAGAACTGCAGTCCGACTTCATTCACTCTCAGCTTGCCGCAAAGTGTTATGTGTCATTACTCCCCTGCTGGGGGCAAAGACAGACCACTTCGCACCTTGTGGTGAAAATGTGTAGATTCCCCTTTTTTGAAGAGGCTGAAATGACAGGTTTCACGAACTGATCGCTTCACCGTCTCGAGCCCACTGGACTCCCGCAGGAAGGCTGTAATTAAAGCCCAAGAGCAGGAGAGGAGGCATAGGGAAGAAGGGCCTTAAATAACAGTTCTCTTTGTACCCCCTCCATGCCTCCCCTCCCTTGCAATCCCCCTACTTCACTCTCACTTTCGCCCAAGCATAAGCGCTTTTCGGAAATAATACTATTTAAAACAGGAGTGATTGGAAGCCTGGAGGCTCACGTTGTGACTGAGAGCTATAGAACAGGCAACAAAGCTTAGACAGATCTCTCCTAAGGATCGTTGCTCATTTAGATAAGTGTCCGTACACTTGGAAAGGAGCCTGCTATGGTGACAGGTTTATTCTGTGGCTGTCAGAAAAACTATGTTGGACAAAAAGCCCCCCCAACTTGCTTGACGTGGTGTGCCAAGCCAACGATGGCTGGAAAATGGAGCCAGAAAAGAAATTTGATGCAGCAGATGTGGATGTCTCTTCCAACCGTTGAAATGTGTTTAGTTTAAAAGGAAACCTGTCATGGAGTTAATAGGGAGGGTGACACTGCCAAACTCCTGAAAATGCTAGATGCCTGGCTGTCTTTAGTTCAGTGGCAGTCAACAAACAGGCTCAAGTATAGTCAGATTGAAGGTAACTAACATTTTCAGGAGAGATCAGCAGCAGCTACTTATTTGTCTCGACAGGTTTTCTTTAAAGCAGGGTTTGTTAAACCGTGGGTCACGAAGGGCTCATTTATACCATATTCCCGGTGTTCAGTTTACATTTGTATTGCATATGCAGTGTGTTTTTTTATAATTATTTTTTTTATTGACAGAGATGCATTTACATGCATTGCAGTACATTCAGGTGAGTTCCCATATTGGGCAGCACAGTGGCTAAATGGTTAGCACTTCCGCCTGGCAGTACTAGGGTCGCTGGTTCGAATCCCAGCCACGGCACCACCTGCCTGGAGTTTCCATGTTCTCCCTGTGCCTGCGTGGGTTTCCTTCGGGTACTCCGGTTTCCTCCCACACTCCAAAGACATGCTGGTAGGTTATTATTATTATACAGTATTTATAAAGCGCCAATAGTTCGCTCAGCGCTGTACATTACAAAGGGGGACAGAACATGTGACAGAACAATACCAATACAATGCAAAACATGAGGGGATTGAGGGCCCTGCTCTTTCGAGCTTACAATCTAGGAGGGAGGGGATGGTGGTACAGGAGGAGATAGCTGTGGGGGATGGAGTGGTAGGAAGAGTGGAGGAGATCGGCAGGTTAGCAGGGCGTGGGGTAGGCTTCCCTGAAGAGATGGGTTTTCAAGGTGCGCCTGAAGGAGAGGAGAGTAGGTGATAATCTGATGGGTTGGGGCAGGGAGTTCCAGAGGATGGGTGACACCCTGGAGAATTCCTGGAGGCGGGCATGGGAGGAGGAGACCAGGGAACTAGAGAGAAGGAGGTCTTGTGAGGAGCGGAGTGTGCGTGTTGGGCGGTATTTGGATATTAGGTCAGTGATGTCGTTCAAAGCAGTATGGTGGACAGCTTTGTACGTCAGTGTTAGAATTTTGAATTTGATCCAATGCGCAATCGGAAGCCAGTGGCGGGATTGGCAGAGGGGGGGGGTGGCGGAGATGGAGCGGTTGGAAAGGTGAATGAGTCTGGCAGCCGTATTCAGGATCGACTGAAGCGGGGATAGCCAGCGGTGAGGCAGGCCAGTGAGGAGGGAGTTGCAGTAGTTGAGTCATGATATGATAAATTGAAGGCACTATATAAGTACCTGAAATAAATAAATATGTCTACATGCGAAAAAATGAAGCATATTGCACAAGAAAGCACCGCCATGATGTAAACTAGGCTTACTGAAATACATTCATTTTTCTTGCATATGTATTCATACTGCGTTTAACTGCATATAACCCAAACAAGCCCCTAAAGAGTGCAGCACAAAGTCCACGGAATCTGATAAGACTCAGATACAGGAGAATGCTTATGCCTGCATCTCTAAAAATCATCACCAAATGGCAGACATGATTCTCAGAGGATGGCTCTTTCCTCAGTCTTCTCACTGCCGTACACCTTGCTGCCCCTCCCTGTAATGCTTAAAGCAGAACTTTGCCCAAATGGGGGAAGTTCCCTGTTTCTTCCGCTTTCCCCTATCCTGTGCCATGTTTGGGGGGGGGGGGGGGGGTGAGCGGGTACCTGATTTTGACAGGCACCATCTCCCACTTCTGCTCTGACCGCCCAGGATATTGGAGCAGAAGTCCCCACCTCTTCTCCCCGCAGCCACTTGGGACACATCACAGGTCCCAGGAGACTGCAGGACCATTACCGAGGGCAGTGCGACTTGTGCACAAGGAGTCACAGCTGGCTGCCCACAGTTAGGATGCCGGGGACCCAAAGACTGGCAAACAGCCAGATTGGGTGAGGACAGCACTGGATCCTGGGCCTGGTAAATGCGTGTTTTTTAAAAGTCAGCAGCTACAGTATTTGCAGCTGCTGACTTTTCAATTTTTGTCGACAAGGTGGAAAACCACTTTAATTATCAGGCTTTATAGTCTCTGGTTGCCAGTGTACTTCCCAACCTACCTGCCACAAACTTCTGTCAAGGACAGCATATCCTTCCACCAATAGTTATAGACCACCTGGCACATGCATGTAGCCCAGTGGTCTCCAAGCTGTGGCCCTTTGCTTGCCTTTATCCGGCCTTTGGGGCACCGGTCCAAGGTGCTATTTGTCCCACTGACACTAGGGATGGGACACTTTTCCTTCTCTGGATACCAACAATGGGGCACTATTCCTCCCTCTAATACCAATACGCTCATTGACGCCAGGGCATTTTCTACTCACAGAGGCCACAGTTCTGCCCTCACAAAGTCTAAAGGACAGTAAACTGGCCCTTTGTTTAGAAAGTTTGAAGACCTCTGCTATATACCATTGGCCTCCAAACTTTTCAAAGGGCCAGTGTACTGTCCTTAAGAAGAGGGGTCGGATTGTTGCCAGTAGAGGGAGAAAATGTTCCAGGCATAGCATCAGTGAGAATAAACATGACCTCAGGGTTGGTGGACAGTAGGAGGATTAGTGCCCCATCATTGGGATCAGTGGAAGAATTAATTTGCCATTGTTGGTGTCAGTGGGAGGAAATGTGCCCCATCATTAGTATTAATGGCAGAAATTATGCCCCACTGTTTGTGCCAGTGGGAGAAATAGTGCCGCATATCATTGGGAGGAAAAAGTGCCCCAAGAGCCAGATAAAGGATAGCAAAGGGCCACATCCAGTTTGTAGATCACTGATCTAGACCAATGGCAGTCTACCCAACACATTTTGAGAAACCCTGTATGAAACTACAAATGTACTTATGATAGTTTCTTGACAGATGGAGAAACACCAGACATAGAGCCATACATGAACAGATCAGGTCGCCGGACACTTTTGCTCACATCAGGGAGCCCATAATGCAAGTGTTGAACAAAGGACAATGCCCTCAAATACAGCTTTAATTCCAACCATTCTATGTATCTGTTCGATATTGGTTTTTCTTCAAACACAGCAGCAACATACTATGGCTAATTAATGGCAGATAAGGCCTGAGCCAAGTCCTCCCTACCAATTTCCCAAAAAATACATAAACCTTGGCACCTGCAACCAAGAATAAAAAAAGGCAGAGCTATACAGAAACCCAGACATTAAAAATGATCGAAAGGCAAAAGGGCAAATAGGAAAAGGTCGGTCACAAGAGACTCGAATTGTAAGCCTATCACAGAAAATCATGTGGCCAAAATGCATCTGAAATTATACGAAAATAGGCAAAGTTTAAGCAACAAAATGGAAAAATAATATTTAAAATGATCAACTTTTATTGAGCTGGGTGGAAAAATATCAATTTAACAGTACCTGCATCCAATCAGATGGGGGTGCTGAGCAGGTATTCTGACAGTCACCTCCAGCAGAGAAGATTCATCTATCCACACTATTTTTTATCTTTAGTCATCTGTCCTGGCACTAGATCCTAAAGTCTGCCATACATGGCTAGATTTTCATCTGATTAATGCTGAATTTGACTAAATTCATTTCGTGGCTGCCCATTCTGTCACCATTGGGCTATTCTGATAGTAAGCTCCAGCAACAGAGAAGATTCATCCATCCACACTATTTTGTCTATAGTTATCTGTCCTGGCACTTTTACTATTTCGGCACCCAAGAGAATTATGTGTGTAGACTACAGCAGATCCCCTCCCCCAAGATGTATGAGCATTACATTTCAACAAAAATCCCCCCCCCTTAAAAAAAAAAAAAAAAAAAAAAAACGAAGAACAAACAAGCAGTAATCTGCACTCTAACCCCCTAAGCATATATTCCCCTCGTAAGTCAAAATTCTCCCCAAACCATAATTCCCTCCACTCTCAGTAAAAATCCTCACTCTGCTGAAATCCTCCCTCCCAGCATAAATCTTTGACCACCAAGGTTTCCTTACCTGCTCTATGCTGGGCAGAGACTAAAGAAGGTAAGGAAATCCTGCACAGTCCCAATCTGACAGTCCAGATTCAGGAGTCCTGCAGTGGCAGGAGGAGGAGCTGGAGGGGAGAGAGAGCACAGCCCGCACCTTCTCCCGGATCTCTTCTGCTCTCCTCATTTTGGTTGTTACTTCCTATGATAAACTGACAGGAGTAGTGATGCTGCTGTCACTACTCCTGTCAGCTTGTAGTGGCAGAAACTCTTTAAGCAGC